AAAAAAAAAAAAAAAAGGAAAAAGATAGTTGGCCTGTGGTGTTTAAGTGTGTGTGTGTGTGTGTGTGTGTGTGTGTGTGGTTTCCCAAAGGCTCATGCCTTGTCTGTATTCTGTAGTTATTTTTGCTTTTTTATTAATTTCCTTTTTGCTTTTCATTGTTTCCTCTAACTTACAGATTCAGTAATTAATTCATATATTTCTTAATTAGTACTATGAGATAGAAGGCATGGACTCAGTTCTGAGTACCCTTAAGCCAACTCACTTGGTGCACTGGGATGGTTGTTGCTGTCGTTTCCCAGGGTCCCTGAGTTTCGAGTGTCTGCGGGACTGGACCCGCCGGGGACCCCCCGCCCCTGCAAGACCTCTACACTGAGCTCCACCCCACCCAAGTCCTCTGTAACCCAAACACTTTTCAGTGGGAATTTTTCCACCTTTGCTTTTCCCCAGAAAATAGGATTTCCTGATAGAGCTAGTAGTTTTGTTTACTGATTCTTTTATTAATTTTCATTTTTTACATCAAAACAATTTATAATATACTTAAAATATACCATTGAACTACACAGATTAAGTGGGTTAACATTATAATATGTAAATGATAAAGTTTTTTTAAAGATCACAACAAAAATACAAATAATGCACTCTTTCCTGTTTGCTTTTAGAATTAGCTCTAAGCCATTTCTCACCATTATGGGTTATATTTAGATGTCCCCCTAAAGCCACATACTCTCATGGGTGGGCCTTTGGGGAGTGGCTAAATCATGGGTGTGTGGTAACTGGATTAGTCCACTGATTGGTCTGGGGTAGTTCTGGGTGTGGGTGATGGATTTAATGAACTTGGAAGACCCACCCCGGGTGTGAATGGCACCAACTAATAAGCTTGTAGCCTGGACTAAATAAGAGAAAAGAAAGGCCGCAGCTTCCTGTCTGTCCTGCCATGGACACACGCATTCCTAGACCACATGTTTGGTACCTGTCTTAATATTTCCTGTCCAAGTAGCTGAGCCCGTGCGAGATCTGCCTGGCTTCCTCCCTGGCCTGTATTCCCTGGACTTGATGGAGCTGCCGTGGGCTTCTTCAAGGAAGGGCAGGCCCTGGGAGGGAAGAGATGGCTCAGCTCACTGTCCACACTCTTGCCCTGGCACTTTCAAACGTGACTCAACACAAATACAAATTCTATCAAAGACACTGGATTATTTCTGCAAATTGGAAAAACAGTACACTTTACCCCCAAGCCCTTTAGCTCTAAGCTATGACTGCAAGCTCATCTTTCCCCTTGAAAATCACTTCCTATTAACTAGGACAAGCAAAGGATCACTGCCTTGAGTAATTATAGATTTTCACTTTTTTTTTTCCCTTGGTTCCGGGGATTGAACTTGGGACCTTGTGCTTGTGAGGCAGGCAATGGAACCAGTGAGCTAAATCCCAAGCCCCCCTTTTTTAACTTCATTTCTAATTAGTACTTCTTCTTGTTTCCTTGAAAGGCTCATTGCAAACAAATCCCAAGTTTTTATATTATGACAATAAAAAACGCCTTATTTTTAAAAGGTCATTTATGTAGCCTTCTAATGTATTATATTACATAAATCTTTCCCAGAGGAAAGTGTAAATAGGAATAAATTGATGCCAAACAAAGAGGGAGATAGAAGAGAATTTTAAAGATATTTCAAAATTAGAGATGATGAGCTATTATGAGGCACTAACATTGTGAGATTTTCCCAAATGTTCAAGGAGATACCAAATACACTTGATAAACTCAAATATAGCTGATGTGAAAGTTCAGTACTTGAACAGGACAGTGTACATCAAATGTGACTTGCATATTAGAAACACAAGACAGAAACTATTTAAAGAACGCCCATTAATCTTTAAAGTGAATTATCATGCTCAATCCACGCGTTCTTTAAATCATAATTTTAAAACTGCTTAATGTGAAAAATACATTGTATAGATCTAGACAGTCACGATGTCATGGCCTGAAACTGGACTCGTACCTTAGAGGTGTCCTCAGGATGTGTCCCTCACCTTGGGAGAAAGGTGGCCGCGTTGTGTCATTGAGGCGACAGGAGCCAGCCACGCATGGTCTCCTGCAGCCGCCGCCTAGCGATGCGCTTCAGCATTACAGCTCTATTTTGCAGCCCTGTTCGTTCAAGATCTTTTTTCACCACACTCAAAAGGACTACTTTGAGGGCCAAGGGGCAACTTGAAAATTGGAGTGAAAGTTGAGTTTGGAGCTGTAGAGAAGCTGAAAAGCCTCTTCCTGCTGCAGAGCCCCACATCGTAACGTGGACCATGTGGACGCACGGCCGGAGTGGGCCCTTCTGCGCCCCGGGCGGGTGGGCGGGCCGGTGTGAATGCACAGCTGTGCTCAGGGATGCAGGTTGGTTTCCTGAAGGTGGCAGATGGATGCGGTATGAACACAGTATGAACAAAGGGACCTTTACTCTGTCGCAACTTAACCCTTGTGCTTCCTGCGTTGCGTGAGTGACACTTTAATGAAGAAGGGAGCATTGCGCCCATCGTTGCCGTCTGGGGTGGAGAGGTGCAGCGAGGAAGAGTCAGACCCCACCGAAGGTGCCCGAGGGAAAGGATGCAGCCCCTGGGGTACACGGAGCTCAGCACGGCTGCACCTGCGCGACTGGCCAGAGCCTTGCTGCCCAGAGCCGAGGGATCCAGCAGGACCTGCCCTGCGCGTCAGATCCCAGCTCAGGGTTCTCACTGTATGTGCAGACGGGAACCCTGGTGAGCGTGGACCGTGGAGTTCAGGTCCACCTTGGCTAAATCGCGTTCCAGAGTGAGATTCCTGTCTCCATACCCACTGCCACATGGCCTAAGGCAGGGCCCGCGACCTCCAGAGGGTTGGGCTCAGAGAGGGCTGTCGTGAGGGTGGGTAAAACAATGCCCGTGAAGCTCTGGGCCCATGACGGACACCGCAGGTGCTGGAGGATCTTAGCCACTTGCTGCTGGTGCAGGTCAGATCAGAGTAGCCTTCTCCCAGGAGTGGGGCTTCAAGGAGACGCATCCCAAGATACAGGGGCATCAGCTGCTGAGGGCCCTGCAGTCAGGCTTCCCTGCCTCGCTTGCTGGCCAGGCCTGCTCGGCCATGCACACGAGCTGCTGTGACCACAGACCCAATGCTGCTCTCACCACCGGGGCCAAGAGTCCAAGGGCGAGGGAGGGCGGCCCCCCAGACAGCACCGTCCACCACATCCTCAGAGAGGACACACTCACGTCCCTTGTGACAGGGCCAAATGCTGCATGCACACCTGGGTCCACTCAGGAGGAGGGGTCCCCAAGGCCGCGTCACCTCGCGGGGGCCCCACCCCGGGGCCACACACTCAGATCACAGAGCTGCCTGTGGCCCCTGCAGGTAGCGGTCTTCTGGGGCTCACCCTGGGCCCAGCAGGGGACTGGAAGTCGAGTCCCGAGGTGGGAAGCCAGGCCTGCCTGGTGCCCCGTGTGCTCACTCAGCCGGGAGGACCAGGAGCACCAGGCCCCCATCTACGTGCAAGGAGGTCTGTGGGCTCGTGTTTCTCCAAGGGGACCCCGCGGCAGGGCCTGGGAAACGCACAGGACAGGTGGGGACAGGTGGGCTGGGGAATGTGGGGCGAACAGGCCCCGTGGGCTTCTCACCAGAGACCCAGACCCACAGTGAAGGGAGCCCTGCTGCTCCTCCACTCTCACCCACCGCCCACTGTCAGAGGCTCTTCCTGCATCACAGCCCGCAGCATCCACCCCTCGGGAAACTGCTCCCGGGGGAGCCCTGTGTCTCCGTGGAGCGCCTGGTCACTGTCCCTCAGGGGCGTCTTCAGCCAGCAGAATGCAAGGCCCTGCCGTTGGGAGGAGCTCAACCTTCGCCCTGCAGGGGTTCGCAGGCAGGGAGCACGGGCTTTCCTCCTAAACTTCCTCTCCCTACTCTGTTCCTACCACCGAGTCGCTGAGCTCTTTTCTCCCACACTGGTGACATCCCACAGCCCCTTTCTGATAGAAGTTGAGTTCATTAAGTATAGTTTGTGTGGGGTCGCCAGGGTGTCTCATGATACGGAGGCCCAGGATAAAGAAAGCTCTGGACCCACTGATGTGGACAGTGCCCGAAGGGGCAGGGGCTCCCTTGAGTGCAGAGTCCCCACCCCGCACACGACGTCCCCAGGACGGTAACTGCACAGCCTTGGGTTCTTTACTCCTAGCTTGACAGCCCAAACTGTGGGACTTTCTATTGTCAGTGAATTCTAATTTTTATATTTCCCGTTTTCTTTTATTATTAACACTTATTAATCTTTACAAGATACTGAATTTCAATGCATATAATTCTGTCATATACATCCCTCTGTGGAGGCTTTCAAACTTTTAATCATCTTAGGGGGTCTGGGTAACCCGGAGCTCGGGGAAATCTGACTGCTTCGCATTCACTACCGGGGGACCCCCGGGGAGGGCACAGTGGCATGTGGTCTCCACCTCTGCGGTCCCTGCCCACTGACTTCGCAAACGACAGAAGGCCTAGCTCGCACCAGCTCAAGCAAAGAGCAGAAATTCTCGGGTAGGGGTCTGGGCCAGGAGGACTCTGCTGGCCGGGCTCCCCAGCGCTGCCCGGCGCTCCTAGGCCAGGCCTGCTCCGCTGGAAGCCCTGGGCGCTGCTCCCGGGTTACCTGCGTGGGCCTGGCTGTGTCTTCGGGGCATCTCGCAGGGCTGGCAGATGTTCTGGGTGCACGCAGTGGGTCCCCTACCCGCGGAGC